CTCAATTTACAAAGATTATTTTCGTTCTCCGTCGTACTTCATCTCAAAGAATTGATACAATCTAATATTTCCGTGGTAGAAAATTAAATGATTTTACTGTCAAAGTCAGTGTTTAAACTGAGATAATTTGAATTATATTTTATATAGTGATCATGTCACTGGGATGTCTAAACATTCTTTGTAAAAGTAGTAATCCCTGATTCTGATTTTTTATCAACAGAAAACTGACTAAAGGTTAGATATTAGCTACCAATTGCTGTTATTTGTAAAAACCTACAGAGAAGGCTGGTATTATTGAAGAATTCTGAGTTGAAATACATTCTTTACTTCAGAATTATTAACCCTTTAAGGAGACTTTCTGCATTTTTCTCAGGTATATTTTAAGTTCAGAGGTTCATGAAACTTCTTCAAATACTTGATTTAGAATATATTTAAAAGTGCAGTGGTGATATCTTATGCTATTAAATATATTATAACATAACAATATATTACATTGCTTGATATCATCAAATTCGTTTTCCCTATTTCTATGTATTAATTCATCTGTCTACCTATTGAATCCAAGTTTTGCTGGTCCACACCAGACTGGTTAAATGAGGGTTGTTTTTTTAAATTCAAGTATAGTTGGTTTACAATGTTGTGTTAATTTCTGGTGCGCTGTGTAGTGATTCAGATATATATACCTATATATAGGTATATATATATATTCTTTTTCATTATAAGCCATTACGAAGTATTGAATATAGTTCCCTGTGTGACACAGTAGGACCTTGTTTGTCTACTGAGGTCTTGTTTATAATATAAACCACACTTCTACAGTTCCTACCTGCAATTTAAGATTTCTGAGTTCTTTAAATTCCACTTTTTTTCTGGAAGCTTCTAGAGGAGGTTGCAAGTATGTGCATGAGTGAGCTTTCAAGGACTGACGGCCTGTGACGCTGAAGGCGGCTTGCTGGGACGCCAGCACCCAGGCTCCACTGCCTTCCCTGTGCTCTGACCCCTCAGACACCTCAGGGCTGGCGCTCGCTTCCTCCAGAGCGAGCTTCACAACCACGTGCTGGTTTCTAGCTGCAGCATCACTGCTGCTGTTATGCTCCAGAGCCCTGAACAGCCCAGTGACTCCTAGAACTGCAGCCTTTCATGTCAGAGTATGTTCCATGAAGAAAGAGACAAAATGATTCTCTCCCTTAAGTGTGTAGTCATTGCATCAAGGAAGCCTGAACAGGGCAAGCTGGTGCCCCTGTATCTCCAGAGTTCCTAGCACATACAGTCTTCCTTTTGTGCCAGTCACACCCTGATGGTGGATAGGGTGCTGGGGGACCTGTCCCACTAGTCTGCTGTTTGTAACTATCCGAACTGTAGACACTGGTTGGGTTCCAACCTGACTACCTGTTTAATTTTATTTCAAATTTGAAACATGGTGATCTTCACTTCAACACTGGAGCAGTCTGCATTTTTATCCAGAACAACCTAACATACTTATTAGCCAAGGCTACAAGGATGAACAGGGTATGTACCCTCCCTGTGAGGAATTTACCCCCCTTGCCTAGGTCGAAAGCAGGAGTGAGTGATCTTGAGGTAATTGCAATCTACAAAACTGAAGAAACTGGTACATTCTTTACCCAGAACTCCGCCACCATGGTGCAACCCGACTTAAGACTTAGTGTGAAAGGTTGAAAGTGGAGTGGAGATAGGGATGGTTGGGCTAGTTTGTGGAAAAGGCCTTTGGAAACCTGAGCCGGCACACACGAGGAGGGAGGCGACCTCACATGAAGAATACCTACCTCCTACCTCAGGATCCTGCAAATGGTTTGGGGATGGTTGGTGAACCACAGGTATTCCTAAGGCTGGTTCCTATTAGACAGGGAAAGCTAGAAGCCTCGCTTTTTCCTCATCCTTGCTGAGGAATGAAACCAATAAAGTCAGTTACTATTTAGACGAGTGAGTGAGTGAGTGAGTGCTGATCGTTTTGGGGAGAATGTTGCTGGAGAGGGACTGACCAGTAGAGGCCACTGAAGGGCTTCTTGGGGCCAGGGGAGAGCACAGCTAGCCAGTAGTTGAAGGAATGCAAGACTCAGTGGCAACTCTGTTAACATCGTTAGGGGAAATCTACCTAAATCAAAATCATAAGGAAAACCTTGCCTTTGCAGATACACATATATACATATATATATATTTTGTCATTCCACAAATAAAACATGTATTTCAAAATCTGGCACAATGACCATCTTTGCAAGACTGAATTCTATAGATGAAAAATTCTTAAGAGAAGTTTGTATTACCAGATGCTTGGCATCATGCAGTCCAAACATTTTGAATGTGTTTTAAAATAATCTTCCAGATGTGTGACAGCTTGTAGCTAGCTACATAGCCCTGTCTGTATTTTGGAAGGAGGGGCAGTGTGTGGAAAACTGAGGTAAGTATTCACATTATACAGGAAAATGAAACTCTTACTGCCTTCTTGGTCTGATTGCCTTGGAAAAAAGTGGTTTAATTTTTTTTTTTTTTTGCCTTTCAACCAGTTTCTTCAACTCTACATTTAACCTGGCAAATATAGACACAGATAGAACTTTCCACAGTACCTTGTATTTGCCATATGAAAGGCATTATTGCTACTAGGTTATGACATTTTCTGACTCCAAAAGCAGTTACTGAGAAATTCAACTTTATTTTGTGTTTATTGGTCCTGCTTCTTGATAGTAAATATATATATATAGTTTTCCCAGTTTTGTTATAGTTT